GCCCAGGCCCAGAGTTCAGGCCCCACGACCGGACCCAAACCCCCCCCACCCAAAAAAAATACCATTGCTATTCAAGTCTCTATTCTTAAGTAATGTTAAGAGAGTTTTGATGGTCAGAAACACCCTATTGTGGTTCTAGAGTTCTGGACAGGTTGGGAAGTTTATCTGCAATTCTATTCAAATGTAGTCAGTTCCTGAGTGCAGAATTTTGAAATGTAGTGAAACCAGAAAATTATTTTCCCTTTATTAATTCTGTAGAGCAGCTGGTATAGCCAACCTAGTTGTGTTTAGTCTAAAGAAGAAACAGTAACCCCTTCCTCTGTGGAAAAATGAAATGATACCACATAGAGAATGGGCAGAAATGGTAACTAGAACAGATTTATTTGCTAGTTTTGTACCCCAAACTGGGGGTGGGGAGTGTGTGCGTGTGTGTGGTTGGTAACCATAGTGCCACTTATGGTTTTCTAGTGGTTCATTGGAGATAAAGAGTCTCATGTGGACTTTTCTGCCCACACTGACTTCTAACTGCGATCCTCAGGTCTCAGCCTCCTGAGTAGCTATTTTATCTAACACATACCATCTGAAGACAATTTTTATTGTCAAGGACTTGGGGGGGGTTGGCTATTATTACTTCTGTAGGTGGAGCCCAGGGCTGCCAAACTTCACAGAGCAGCCCCCTAAGATTTATCCATTCCCAAATGTTTAATAGTTATAGATGAGAAACACTGAGCTAGACAGTCATCTGCCTTTGAGCATACATACACACACCCAACACACACATTTTAGATAGATAGATAGATAGACAGACAGACAGACAGACAGATTTTTTTTTTTGGGGGGGGAGAGGTCCGGTCATGGGGCCTGAACCCTGGGCCTGGACACTGTCCCTTAGCTCTTCAGTTCAAGGCTAGCACTCTACCACTTGAGCCACAGCACCACTTCCAGCTCTTTTCTTTTTGCTTATGTGGTGCTGAGGAATCGAACCCAGGGCCTCATGCATGCAAGGCAAGCGCTCTACCACTGAGCCACCTTCCCAGCCCCAAGATAGATTTTTTTTGCCAGTCCTGGGACTTGAACTCAGGGCCTAGGCACTGTCCCTGAGCTGCTTCTGCTCAAGGGGAGCGCTCTACCACTTGAGCCACAGCAACACTTCCGGCTTTTTCTGCTTATGTAGTAGTGAGGAATCAAACCTAGGGCTTCAAGCATGCTAGGCAAGCACTCTACCACTAAGCCACATTTCCAGCCCCTCTGAGGATATTAATACCAGCAATCGCTCCAGAGGATGCAAGAGAAGGAAGAAGCCCTCTTTCTGAGAATTTTCCAAAACATATTGGGACTAAAATCATCTTGTTCAATAGTGCTGTTTCTGCCAGGTGCTGGTGGCTCATGCCTGTAATCCCAGCTACTCAGGAGGCTGAGATCTGAGGATCCTACTCTGAAACCAGCCTGGGTAGAAAAGTTCCTGTGAGACTTATCAACAATGAACCACTCAAAAACTGGAAGTGGCGCTGTGGCTCCAGTGGTAGAGCACTAGCCTTGAGCACAGAGAACAAGCCCCAGGTTTTGGCCCTACAACCAAAAAAATAAAAAGAATGCTGGTTCTGGAAGAGGTGTGAGAGATACTCAAATCCTCTACTGGCAGAGAAGTGGTAGAGGTAAAGTGATCAGCCTTCTCTAAACGTGATATTTCATATACCGATCGTGACACGATTTTCAAATTTCCAAAAGAAATGAGTGGAGATGTTGGTAAAAATTATCTACAAGGGCACAGATTAAAATCTAGCCATGGCAAAGGAGAGCTGAATGAATTTTGCGTTCCAACAAGTGGTATGAAGAAAGTATCGAAAGTCACACATGAAAAAATAGTAGTCTTTTGCAAATGTAATAATGCAGACTGGAAGAAGATATTCCAAAATGTAAATAATAATAAGTAGTGGGTGGGCAAACAGAAAGGGTTCTCAGCAATCGCCTTTATTCTAAGCACCTTACCTGTCCAATATCTCTGAGACTTGCCAGTGGAAATTAACTAATATAAGTTTTGCAACTGAATGAGATACCTGGAAAAAGAAAAAAAACAAATTATAAATGTAATTCTTCATAGAGTGCTCCAATGGAAGAAAAATACATATATCCACATCTTTGCCAGGCCCAAGCTTGATTTCCAAATTCTTTCTCTTGGTTTCTCAAGTAAGTTCACATTCTTACAATCTTAGTGGATTTTATGGATCACTTTATTTTCATTAAATGACCATTCTGTGACAATTAAGAAACTTCCAATGGGAATTTATGCAAAACCACCGTTTCTACAATAAGTGACAAGCTGGCACCCTGTTTAAGCAAAGTGTACCTCTAGTTAGGTCTTGTACTCAGAAGAAGTCTCTCAGCTTTGCAATCCTTGTAAAAAGTACACGTATGTGTACACATACACACACACACACACACACAACAAATAAAAAGTCCATGAAAGGGCTAGGAAGGTGGCTCAGTGGCAGAGCGCTTGCCTTGCATGCTCGAGGCCCTGGGTTCGATTCCTCAGCACCACATAAGCAAAAAGAAAAAAGCCGGAAGTGGCGCTGTGGCTCAAGTGGTAGAGCGCTAGCCTTGAGCTGAAGAGCTGAGGGACAGCGCCCAGGCCCAGAGTTCAGGCCCCATGACCAGACCCCCAAAAAAAAAAAAAAGTCCATGAAAAAAAAAAGCCATGAATTCTGCTGGGCCATGCACGCCTATAATCCTAGCTACTCAGAATGCTAAGATCTGAGGATCAGGATCATGGCTCAACGCCAGCAGCAGCAAGAAAGCCTATAAGAACACCTGCTATCTCCAATTAACTACCAAAAAAGCAGGAAGTGGAGCCGTAGTTCAAGTGGTAGAGTGCTAGTCAACAAATGCTAATTGAAAGTTAAAAATTTGTGGACAACCTTTGACCATATTTACAGCACATGGTACTGATTATTAAATTAAAAGGTGCTTTACACAACCCATTCTATCTCTGTATATTCCTCCTGAGGAAATGATAGAGGACAAATATACCACCAGGTTATATGTATTAGTAAAATATTAGAGATAAATGTTCAACAAAAAATGAGAGCTTGAAATGAAATTAGGTTAAAGAAGAAGCATGTAGCAAACTAGGCATGGTGACACATGCCCGTAATCCAAGCTACAGAGATCAGGAGGATTGTAGGTTCAAAGTTGGCCTTGGCCTTCACACCCCCTCTCCTGCATCTCAACAGAATAAACCAGGTATGGTGGAACACTCCTGGCATCATAGCCACAAGGGAGGTATAAGCAATTAGAAAAGCCATGGACCAGGCCAGCCCTTGGCAAGAAGTGAGAAGATATCTGAAAAACAACTAAAATCAAAAAAGGATTAGGGAAGTGGCTCAAGTGGTAAGGAATCTCCCTAGCAAGCACAACGACCTAAATTTAAACCATACTACTGCTATTATTACTACCAGAATAAATAAATAAAGGGCCAGGTACCTGTGTCTCATCCTGTAATCTAGCTACTCAGGAAAGATGCAATCTGATTATCGTAGTTCAAATCCAGCTCAGGTAGAAAAGTCCCTAGGAGATTCTTACCTCCAATTAACCACTCAAAAGCCGGAAGTGGCACTGAGGCTCAAGTGGTAGAGTACTAGTCTTGAGCACAGGGAGGCTCAGGGACAGAGCCCACACCTGAGTTCAAGCCGTAGGACCAGTAAAAATAAATACATACATACATACATAAGACAGCTTATAGCACTTGGGGCATGAGTTTCTATTTCTCTCCTATAAAAGGTTTCATGTATATTGCTGAAGTTGTTTTGTTTTTTTTTTGGTAGGGCATGGGGCTTGAACTCTGGGCTTGAGCGCTACCCCTCAGCTCTTCAGCTCAAGGGGAGCGCTCTACCACTTGAGCCACAGGACCACTTCCAGTTTTCTAGTGGTTTATTGGAGATAAGAGTCTCATGGACTTTCCTGCCCCAGCTGGCTTTGAACTGTGATCCTCAGATCTCAGCCTCCTGAGTAGCTAGGATGATAGGTGTGAGCCACCAGCACCCGGCTCAAGTATTTTCTTAGTAAGGCCCATGAATACTTTAGGCCTGAGTTTCCTTAATTATAGCACTCAATTCATTCCAATCACAAAATGAAAAAAAAGAAAAAGAAAAAAAGGAGACCAGACATTTGGCTTAAATAACTGTTGAAATGTTCCTTTGGGTTACAAAGTCTTTTTAAAAACATGACAGTGATAATGGTTTTGGATGAACTTGATAGAACCTTTTTGTCTTTTATAAACTCAGTGGGGCTCAATCTTAAAATCAGTGCTTGCCAGGCGCTGGTGACTCATGCCTGTAATCCTAGCTACTCAGGAGGCTGAGACCTGAGGATCGTGGTTCAAAGCCAGCCTGGGCAGGAAAGTCTGTGACACTCCATCTTCACTGAACCACAAGATAACCAGAAGTGGCATTATAGCTCAAGTGGTAGAGCACTAGCCTTGAGCTGAAGAGCTGAGGGACAGAGCCCAGAGTTCAAGTCCCACGACCAACCAAAAAAAAAATATATATATATGTATATACATTAGTTGATTAAAGTATTCAGGGATTGTCCATTTCGGTATTCCTTCTCTCCTTCCCTCCCTCCTTTTCTCCTCTCTCTCTTTCTTTCTTTTCCTTCTTTCCTTCTTTCTTTTTTGGTCAGTTATAGAGCTTGAACTTGGGGCTTGGGTGCTATCCCTAAGCTCTTTTTGCTTAAGGCTAATGCTCTACCACTTTGAGTCACAGTTTTTGGCCAGTTTTCTGGTGGTTCATTGGAGATAAGAATCTCATGGTCTTTCCTGCCCAGGTTGCCTTTGAACCACGAGCCTCAGATCTCAGCCTCAGACAGGCATGACAGGCACGAGGGAGCCACCAGTGCCTGGCTCACTGCGTATTTCCACACATGTGTACAATGTGGTCCATCAACCTCACTCCTTTAAGTAAGCATCTTGTTATGAAGCCCTGATTGCCCTCAAGCTTACAATCTTCCTGCCTTGTTCTCCTACTGATTGATCACACACACACACACACAGACACACACACACAGACACACACACAGACACAGACACACAGACACAGACACACACACACACACACACACACACGGGTAACAACACCCAGCAATACCTGCTTTTTGTCTTGGCTTCTAAATGTCTTATCATGCAGTGATCACCAGACTGTAGCAGAGACATTGGATGGTTCTAGAAACGCAAAGTCTCTGCCATGTCTGGCACTTACTTCCCCTATTACCATAGATAGCTTAGGTGGAGCTTATGAGCTAAGAACAGGAATCAGGTTGCCTCTGTCAGATCCACAGAGCCCAGAGCTGAACTAGACATAGGGCGGCTCCTCAGTAATAATGATTTCTTCTTCTTCTTCTTCTTCTTATTATTATTATTATTATTACAAGTCCTGAGACTTGCCTGGGCACTGTCTCTGAGCTTCTTTTGCTCAAGGTTAGAGCTCTACCACTTGAGCTACAGCACCACTTCCGGCTTTTTTGTTTATGTGGTACTGAGGAATCAAACCCCGGGCTTCATGCATGCGAGGCGTGAGCCCCCTTCCCAGCCCCCAGCCCTTAATATTATGTTGTTAAATAATGGACTTCCAAAATAAATTCTGCCATGAAATTTGGAACTGTACTTAGTCTAGTTCCTTGATCTTAACAGTGCTCATATTAAAAAAAAAAATCACACCTACAGATAATATGACTTTGTTGCAGCCAGAAGTTTACTGATACATACAAATCTACTAACAATGAATTTTGAATATCCCAGTGGAAAGCTGGGCATGGGAGGCTCACACCTATAATTCTAGCTACTCAGGAGAATGAGGATTGCAGTTCAAAGCCAGCCTGAGCAGGAAAGTCTGTGAAACTCCACTAAATTGTCAACAAAGCCAGAAGTGGAGATGTGGCTAAAATGTAGAGCACTAGATGAGTAAAAAGAAGGTCAGAGGGCTGGGAAGGTGGCTCAGTGGTAGAGCGCTTGCCTTGCATGCCTGAGGCCCTGGGTTCGATTCTCCAGCACCACATAAGCAGAAAGAAAAAAATCCGGAAGTGGCGCTGTGGCTCAAGTGGTAGAGCACTAGCCTTGAGCTGAAGAGCTAAGAGACAGCGCCCAGGCCGAGTTCAGGCCCCACGACTGGACCCAAAAAAAAAGAAAAAAAAAAAAAAGAAGGTCAGGGGCTGGGAATGTGGCTTACTGGTAGAGTGCATGAAGCCCCAGGTTGGATTCCTCAGTATCACATACACAGAAAAAGCCAGAAGTAGTGCTATAGCTCAAGTGGTAGAGCTCTAACCTTAAGTAAAAGAAACTCAGGGACAGTGCCCAGACCCTGAGTTCAAGCCCCAAGACTGGCAAAAAAAAGTCAGGGACAGATCCTGGTCCCTGAGGTTCAAGACCCAGGGACACAAAAATACACACACAAAAAAAATACACACACAAAAATAATAGCCCAGTGTAACTGAGTTCTAGTGAGAAGAGAGAATGATGTGTCAGAATGATGTGGCAAAATGATGTGACTTTATTCTCTAAGTGCCAACTGAACTTCAATATACTCTAGAAAGCAGTACATTAAAAAAAATGTCAGTTTAGCTGGGTGCTGGTGGCTCATGCCTGTAATCCTAGCTACTTAGGAGGCTGAGATCTGAGGATCACAATTCAAAGCCAGCCCCAGCAGGAAAGTCCATGAGACTTTTTTTTTTTTTGGGGGGGGGTCCGATCGTGGGGCCTGAACTCTGGGCCTGGGCGCTGTCCCTCAGCTCTTCAGCTCAAGGCGAGCGCTCTACCACTTGAGCTAGAATGCCACTTCCGGCTTTTTTCTTTTTTCTTATGTGGTGCTGAGGAATCGAACCCAGGGCCACATGCATGCAAGGCAAGTGCTCTACCACTGAGCCACCTTCCCAGCCCTGTTTATGAGACTCTTATCTCCAATAAACCACTAGAAAACTGGAGGTAGTGCTATGGCTCAAGTGGTAGAGCGCTAGCCTTGAGCTGAGAGACAGCACTGAAGCCCAGAGTTCGAGCCCCATGACCGAA